GGAAGGGAAGGCGGGGGGGGGGGCGGTTTTTGGTGGGAGGGGGGGTCCCCCTCCCAACGGAAAGCCACAACCACGTGTCACGGGAGGGAAAATGGCCGCGGATCCTGTTCGTCACCTGATCCAGCGTTCGCAAACGAAGCAAAATTTTGCGAACGGTGCTGTTCGTGACCCAAATTGGTTGTGAACAGAAGCGTTCGTGACCCGAGGTACCACTGTACTGTAAATAAAAGTGATAAACATTTTGAATGAATCCTGAGCCTGCGTGGGTGCTGGAGTGGGAGATTCGTTGAATTTGTGACAGCTCAGGATTTGATGGAAATGAAATGCTGACTGCAGGCCACAGGCCACAGGCCAGCTCCTTCTAGCTGCCTCTTGGTGCATTTAATTTGGGTTTAGGATTCCTCCTAAAGAGTGACAAATGCCACTACAGGGTGTGCAGGGTTAGAGTTTGAGGGCCTTTCCGACTTCTGGTTCTCTTCTCTGTGCCGACTCTCCTTTCTGCCTGCTCTCGTCCCGTCTCTTTCACCCAGGACAGACGATTATGCTGCTTATGAAGAGGAAAATCAGTAGCAAAGATGGTTCTGGATTGAAATGCTCCTCTTCCAGTGTTGGCTTCATTGACAAGACCGTGTGCGCAAACTTTTCATTTATCGTATCATCCCCTTGACGATAAATAAAGCTGAGGGGCAATGTTCACATTAGGAGGCTGGGGTGGGGGTAGACAGCTGCACTTTTTATGAAGGCTGTTTGTCTTTCATTACAATTTAACCTTTCTCTGAACAAAGGGGGGACGAGCCTGTGGCAGCAGGTGCAGCTGTGAGCGTTCCTTCCGTGTCTCTTTCTATGGGCCGCTGCCCAGTCTGCCAACAGGCGGGGCATTAAGAATAGACAATGATCTCATAATTTTAAGCACCCGCTCCTCATTCAGCAACGTGGCCTGCAGTTGACAGAGCTTGCCAAGATGGCTAGGAGGATGCTTTTATTTTTCTGAGATTCTGCCCAAATCTTCAAGGACTAAGTAGGAACTAAGGTTGCTAGAAGAGCTACATTGAGGTTGGTAGATTGCAAGGCAGAACCGAAGGGCTTCTTGGTAAGAGATGAGTGATGGGAATGTTACTCAGCAGCAGGAACATTTCAGAGCACGGACATCCTTCGGGGCTGGAAAGGTAACAATAGTCTTGTTCGCCACTGCTCCATCAGCAGAAAGGACAGACAATGATCTCATAATTTTAAGCACCTGCTCCTTGTTCAGCAACGTGGCCTGCAGTTGATGGAGCTTGCCAAGATGGCTAGGAGGATGCTTTTATTGCCCTCTTTCATTTATTCTTTAGTTATTTGGGCAATTTTCACTCAACTTTAGTGGTTTTCCCATTATGTCAAGACTATACATTTTTATGGGAGGCTTAAACTTGGGGGCAATTCTTTTGCCCCATTAGCAAAGGACTGCTGCCCTCTTTCTTTATAATTGGGATGCCCAACATGGTGTCTGTGGCTGCAGTCAGCTTCTGTCCCATCTGACTCCCGCCACCCAAAAAAAGCACTTATAATTTACAATTGGAGGTCAACCAAGCATCAATTCCCAGCTTCAGCATTACTTTTAAGAAACCTCTGAATTCCACATGGGTCTGTGGCAGGTTTCTCAACCTTGGCAACTTTAAGACGTGTGGACTTCAACTTCTAGAATTCCCCAGCCAGCATGACTGAAGTTCACACGTCTTAAAGTTGTCAAGGTTGAGAAATCCTGGTCTATAGGCATTTTATTATAAATTCTGGAAGGTGGTAGGCAGTGGGGTTCTAAGGGGCTTAAAACAAGCACTTGATACAGCTGATTTGATCCAGTTGATCTGTTGAATTAAAGCACTCGTTTCAAGCCCCTTAGAGCCCTACTGCTTACCACCTTTGAAGCACAGGACCAGTCAGTTAAAAGAAGCTTCTGAGCAAATGACCTTTTCCACCAGAGTCAAATGGCTCAACCTGAGGCCTCAAGGTGGAATCACCTGATTTCTGGACTGAAGGAGCTGCTTCAAATTGGATTGTTATGGCCATACACACTGAAGCGTCTCCTTGAGGTGGAGCAGTGCAGCTTTTCACGGCCTCAGCAGTTAGGCAGGAAGCAAAGTATTAGGAGTGCACAAAATTATCTGAAACTCAAACTTTCTGTGGCCAGCCATTTCTAGCAGTATGAGCTCTGAAGAAAACACGTTTTGAGATCTCAGGTTTGTTTTTTAAATTATTCTAGACATAACTTCTTTAAAAATCATTCTCTTGGCTAATTCTTTGGTGAACTTATGGGCAGAAAGTGTTCATTTCTTAACACCCACCCTATAGCACCACCACCCCAATGGTGAAGAGACTTTTATAGAACGGAACAAGACACTTGTTTTGAGTTTCCATTGCTCTATATAATAGAATGCAGAGGTTTTGAGTTTCATTTCTTGGAACACAATCCATGCAAAATGTTCAGAAAGAATATTCCAAGCGAGTTGGTTTTATTCCAAACTGAGAATACAACTTTTTTTCCTATTGTGATACCCTTAAAACATATTTGCTTTCTGGAAATTGGTGTTTTGTAATTGGTCATGCCTGGTATAGCAGCCATTTTGTGAGAGTATTCAATATGTTCTCAAAATTCCAAATCTTCTTCCTGATCCAAAATATTTGGAGTCTTCTGCTTTACAGAATGCATAAAGTTTCCTTTACTGGCTGAAAACAGGACAGGTATACTTTACATATTTGGAAAAATATTTCCAAATGTTAACATTGGTGAAGAAAGGATTTAAAACAACAACACCACATTACATTGAACAGAAGCCCAAAACTCCCTGGGAAGAAGAAATGAAAGTCCTAAGATCCAAAGGGTGGCTATCTCTAGTTAATGGTTGGAATGTCACTGAGACGAAGTGTGTATATGCATGTTCACACTTCAAAATCCCCATGAGCTCTTTGAACAGCTGCAGACACAGAGCCAAATAACTTCCATGGGAATTACTATAATAAGCCAACAGTCAAAACCAGGTGACTTTTTAATTTTCAGATATTTAATACTCTCTTCCTTCTTTTTGTTGTTTTTATGTGTTTAAACAGATTGCAAACCAAGACAATAATAAAATATATTAACAAATGTACCTTGATTTAGTTTTACTGCAACAGAGTTGGGCAATGGGTGGAGTTGTGGGAACTCCAGTTTCCATTACTCCCAGTCAGTTTGGCCAATAGTGATGGAAATTGGAGGCAAACATTCATTTGGAGGGCCAAACATTGTCTTCCCCATTCTACGGAAAATTGGGTACAACATAACTCACTTTCTTAGCAATGGATCCCGTACATAATAGATTAATGATACAACAGTCTTACAGTAATATAATAAAGATACACACTTGCTTGAAACCAAGCTGGTATTTTTGATGGTATGCAATGAATGGTCACCATAGGTTGACAATGACCACCTCCATTTTTTTTCAAGATCCTACAATAGTGCACTTCTGTACATATCTGATAAATTAGCCCACTGGAATTCAACAGGCCTTAATCATGGGTGAGAGTGGACAGCAGAGCTGCGCAATTTGCACCCCCCCCACCTCCGCTTTGGATAATGCTTCCAGAGCCTTTCCAAAACTCATCTTGAATTGTAATTTTCAATCTGAAAGCAAACATACAAATATTTGCTATATTTAATTAGGTTTAATCATAGCTGTGCAAACATTTTTGCTTTGAACCATCCTAAGCATGCAAGCATATGAAACATCCCGCCCTGAGCACCAAAAGGAGCACCCTGAGCTTCAGCCAGCTACTGTTGGTGCTCACAAGAGGCCTTTTTGTACATGGGCTGCAGTTTGTACTCGAATGTGAAATAATACAGAAAACAGTTTAAAGGAATCTCTAATTTTAAACTGAATGAAATTTAAATGCAGTACAGCTTTGTGTCCTTGCCTTCCTGCTTTTTGAAAAGCGGGCCACTGGCGTGCCATTTAAAGGCCAAGAATGGCTCTCAGCTCCAAACGGGATGCACCCCCCACTAGATCAGATTGCAACCTAAGTCTTCCTGTCTATTTTCCATGTCGAACAGTACCATTATGGCTATGCAAGTTAACTGGCTTTTTCCTTCATTAACTTCTTATCATTTCCAATTCCCTTTAATTGTCTGTGCTCATCAGACTGCCAACATGGGAAATACAATCTTAACCTTTGAAAAGAGAAAAGCAGGAAGAAAAAATTGCATATTCAAGCTGCTACCCTTCATCCAATCCTGGACATAGCATAATCAATACCTTTTATGGCATACACCAGTGTGATGACTAAGTCACAGGTGCCTTTCAAAGCACTTATATTTTCAATGATTTTCTTAAAACAAAAAACAAGAGAACCTTTAAATATGACTTACATTTGGAGTTCTATGCTCAAAGAGTGTAGAAGCATATGAATAAACACATATTTTATTTTAATGTGTGTATATAATATATATATTACAGAAACTGCTATATACCATTTACTTTGCACCAACAGTGTGCTAGGCACTTCACAATTTAAGGATTTTTTTTAAAAAAGTACATAAACAATTCAGCTTTCTGGTAAAAACTCAATACATTTCCTCATGGATATGGCATACAATGAAATGCTTGTACATTTATGGTATGCGGTAAGACACATTCTCTGTATCTCCAGAAACAATAGCATCCCCATGGAGGGTCACTTCCTTTTTTCTATGATGGAGGTAGAATGGAACCCACCTGTGGTTCTTTTTTGCTTGAGACATGATTGATCTGATTACCTTCTTTACCCAACACCAACAGAAAAGTCCTTGCTATATTGAGATCAGATGAAATATCTCTGCTAGATGCTATCCTGTATTTAACTGTATTGATAATTCCAAACCTCAACCCAGTGCAAGTTGAAACGATAGTTGTGATCTCGACTATCAACAAGATCTCAACAAGATCCTTCAAGATCTGAATTTATTCCAAAGCTTGCCTATCTATAGTTGGGCTTGATGGTACCTACCTAAGTGATCTGAAGACTGCAGCTCTTTTCCAGGGTGAGTGGAAAGTTCTTGCTTTACCTGGTGATTCAGATTTCTAAATAAAGTAATGGAAAAAGGGGATTCTGGCTGATTGGCACATAGGCTAGTACCTCTTAAACAGTGTTTCCCAGCCAGCATGGGAATTCTGGAAGTTGAAGTCCACACATCTTACAAGTTGACAAAGTTGGGAAACACTGCTCTATTGTGTTTGCTTAATTCCCTTTAAATTCCTGAGGAAAGGGGGTTCTAAAACTGGGTATGACGCATGGAAACAATGAGCAGCCTTTTAAATATGGCACAAAGCAAAGTCATTCATTATTATATTCCCTTCAAGTATGTAACTTAAAAAACAAAACAAAACAAAACTATAACCAACTAAAAAAAACCCAACATATTTCTCCATTGACTACAGTGTTTTCATTTAGTAAACCACTGCTTTCATCTTTCATGAATGTAAATTCAAAGTTGCAACAAATGTCATCAGGAGTGTTTAAAATGCTTCAGTGAGGCACATCTTCCCATGGCTCAGATGGAGAATTTAAATCAAATGGTGTTATCCAGTTCTCAGAAACCATTTATGTCATGTTCTTCATGTGTTGAAGCAAATACCTTAGATCAACAGGGTGGCAAAGATATAGTAGTATCAGGCTCTGTGTTACATGTTTATGGGTTAAAATGTTGTGCCCAGACTACTCAAATTTTAAACCAAAAATGGAAAATTCTGCAATCCATAATATTTATTTCAAAGCAGATAAGTCAGTCTGTTAGTCATGGAGGGGCACAAGAAACTATGGAGTTCAACAGGTTCCCTAGTAAATATTGGAAATGTTATATTGCTACCTCTCTGGCTCAATTTCAACAGGATTACCCAGAGTTTTCAAAATATTTTCACAATCAAAAGAGCTAAATACATCCTTTTAAAGAAAACTGAGGCTTTCAGAGAGCTGAACTCTACTGTACCACAGCTTAAATAGATATCATACCTACATCTTCTAAGACGTCAGTAGCAGACATTTCTAAGGCTGCATAATGTATCTGCTGGAGCAATTCCAGTTCCAGTTGTAAAACCTTTATACAACCACTAGGGACTTGTTCTTACCTGACTGGAATTCTCACATTGCTAGAAATGTTAAATTTTGTGTCCTTAGGAATTCTTCCTTTACTGATATGCATACTTGACAGAATTGGGAAACTGTAAGAATGAACTGCTATTGACATATCCTTCAAGTTCAAGTTATCAGGCAGTCTGGCTCCTGTGACTTTCACAAAAATGCTTCTATAAAACAGTGAGGTAATCCTACCACCATTTCTGCAGCTGCTGTTAAGAGTTCTCTATTCAGTCTTCCCTGAAAACAAGGACAGCCCTTGATGTAGCCCTCACTAACTTGGTATCCTTCAGTTGCTGAGTTACAAGTCCCATAATACCCTGCTAGCACATCTTCTTGAGTAAGATGAGTAGAGATTTGTGGGGAGAGGGGTTTAGTCCAATGCATCTGGAGGGAATTGGGAGAGAGGTCTACCTTGACAGATACAAGGCAAAATGGAAGGTGTTACATATTTATTATCAGACATTCCTGTAGTAATTTTTTCTTTCTCCCCTAAACAATGCTGTAGTAATTGGCAAGATGGTTTTGGTCTTTAAACTAGGCTGAGAATCCTGCCATGTCTTCAAATCCTATCAGGGAACCTCAGTATAATTAGCAACAGCAGGCAACTTTCTCTCAGACAACTTTCTACCACTGCTATGGTTTTTCCTAGCAGGACAGGCAGAGTGGGATGTGGTGTAAGGCAACCCTTCAGTTCAGATCGGGTAGCAGAGCTAATACGCCTGGCTAGGGCTCCTTGTGTGCCTTGAAATTTGCAGCAGGATTCTTGGCAGGGTCCTGGGATTTCATGGCAGTTGTACCTACAATGAACTGTTAAAAAGCCACACACTGTTTTGTCTTGGGGGACACCTGACCAAGGAATGTCCCAAGCATCCGCTGCCAGTAAAGGCAGAGGAGAAGAAAGTGCCATGCTTTATAGCAAGATGCAGTGGAGCCATCCCAGCGTATTCATTAATCTTCTGGCATCTTACCCATGAGGACAATGGAAATGAGAGCCATGTTTTCCTCAATTTGCAGGGGAGGAGAAAAGGTGGACACAGGAACATCTAATGCAGCAAGGCAAATGATGTTCTTTTATGCCTATCTGTAGCTAGGCATTTATTCTATGTAATTATTTGCTTGCACAAATCAACTGGAGTTACTCAAGCTTCTGGAAAATGTCCTTGGAAGTCATGCCCAGGTCTGCTTCCTAAATCACACTGGGCATCCTCTATTTATTTGTTATTTATGTATCTGCGGGCTCACTTTCACAACCATCTAAAGCATGTTAGCCCAAGACTTTTTGTCACCTGAGGCAGAGGAGCGAATTGTGTGTTGCTTTTCCTGCTTCCAAAGTCAAGGATTATCATACCAAAGCTAGCCAAATTGTTCTGACTCTCCAGGCAGAAAAGTCTCACAATTTCCACTCTCCTCCTCTGACAGTAAAAACAACTATCAGCTCTCTGTCCTTATGAGGCACCTAAAATAGCAGCCTCAATGCTGCCTATAGACAAAGTTAGCCCCAGGCAACAGAATTGTGTGGGAATGATTGTGCCTTCACATAAACATGTCAAAGACAGCAGAATAATGGCAGGAATGAGAGAGGGAAAATGTTGCTGCTTGGTATAAATAAGGAGCAGAACCTAGATCTGAACAAAGCAACCCTAGAACCAATAATGGGGAAAAAGCACAGCATACCACAGCATCTGTGCAAGCATCTATAAGGCATTAAGGATAACCTGCACCTGGCTGAAAGATGGTCCTATTGCAGTCGTCCTCCTGCTATTTTCTGACCACAGTTTATACTCTTCTGAGTTTCAGTGATGGGGGCCCTGGTTTCCTTTGGACCCAAACCTGAGAGTTCAGAGGTAGATTCACCCACTAAGTGGCACTTGGGAGACGCTGTAGGGCAAACTCATGACAGAACCTCAAAAGATATTCTTGAGGGAAAATACCGAATTCATTCCCAGCATCAAGGAAGCAAAATTAGCTGCAAGAGATACCTTCAAGCACTTGGCAGAGCAGCTGCCCTAATGTTAAAGAAAGGTGATTTTTTTCAGTGCTCAGGCTTTTCCAAGTAGTCTCTGCTATGGTCTGCTATATATCAGCAGCTGCTTTTGTACAGATTTTGGGGACTACAGAACAATCTACTGCATTGTGCTGGTGAAAAACAGAGTAAGCTTCAGATCAACTAGTGACACTTACTGTGCATTCTATTTGCTTTGGTTGGAACTATGATCATCACACAGGTCCTACTTACAAGAAGCATCTGCCTGAACCCCCTAACTATAAGTCATCCTGTCTTAAGTTACTATGCTGAGCCATTCACACATGAAAGGCTTTAGAAAAAGTTCATTTGCAAGAGCTTCTGTAAATGGCTTTATTCTAAGGTTTAGAATTGTTTTGTTTCAGAACTTAAAGCACCACCAGCATGCTCCAGCACAAAAAAAGGGACCTCCTTCAAAGTAAGTTGTTATAAGATAAACAGAGCAGAGTGTCATGTTTAGGAATAAGGGAGAAATTTGTTCAATTGGTATAGGAACTTATCAAGTTCACCACTGTGAATCTGTATACTGAAATCTGCACTTTTCATAGTTTTGAGATACAATTTGCAATTCAAAAATATTCATACAAAAAAGCATATATTAAGGAGATGTGCACACAAAAATGTGTATATTAGGGTAAAATATGCATAAAGACAGTTTTTAAGGAAAACTCAAGAAGAAAAGTGCATTAAAATGAGTGTATTAGATTACTTTTCTACCACAAGAGGTTCAAACATTGGCCAAATCCTCAAACACTGATTCATGTAAAAAGAAATAGATGTATTTACATATCCCTTGTCATGACAATTCTTTTAAGACTATGATCAGGTTCAGACTGATATTAACTTCAAACTGAAAACTTAATATTTTTCAGTATTAAAATTGAAGATTAAAAAAAATTCTGACATGTGCATTCAGAAGATCTTAGAAGTGTCTTTTTAAAAAGAATTTCAGAAATGTAAAAAAATATTCATACTACATTCAAGTCATCTGCTTAAGAGTTTTTGGTAACAGAATGACAGGAAAAACTACTCATCAAGTTTCACTATTGAGTTATGGCTTTATAAAGCATGGAAAGAGAACAGAGTTGTATCTGAAATCTTAGTTTTTCCTGACATCCATAGTAGTTTTATCTTAGATATCAAAATGAGACTCAGCAGCAGAAAAAAGCTATATAAAGTAAACATTTGCAAGAGTGTTTGAGGGAAAGTAATAGAATTAGCTTTGCTTTTTTAAAAAAAACAACCAAAACAAAAAAAACCCCAAGTTTAAAAAACAAACAATTACTCTGAACAGAAGATTTCAGCTTTGCACATTTGCCTGCTTCTGTTGCAAAGAATTCTGCATTTCCACTGAGATGGTTGGTGAAGCAGGCAAGGAAGAACTTCAGTTAAGCATGATCCAAACAGTTAAGCACTTGTAAATTCCCTGATTTCAGATAGATTAGGCACATATTCTCCTTCCCACTGAAATCAATAAAAGATGCAGCCTGATTATATGCGAAGCAAGCCTCACTAATTTCACAGGAGGTGGCCTTAAAATGTGCTCAACTTGGCTGGATTGTACCCATTTTCCCTTGGGAAAAGCAGAGGTTCCAACTCCTGTGACAGCATTTTGTCCATCCTTCGGGTAAGACACATTTAACGATTGTCAAAAAGATAAACAAGTATAATGAAACCTGAAGAAATGTGCTCCATTTGTCACCCACTCCCAAACACACATCCCCCTTTAAGGTAAACCACAATCATGCCCAATCAAGAGGGAAACAGAGCATCACCCTTTGAAAAGTAGCAAGGCCTCATTTCTTAACCTTTACAAGCAGCTGACTCTCTTCACCACAGAAGACTCATTGCAACATTGTTTCAAAGCAAGCAAGAGGAGCTACTCTGCCCATTGTTACAACTATCTTAGGACAGCAATTATCAAGTGAATGAAAAAGTGCCTATAGTCTAACAAAATATTGTGGCTATCACTTTTCCCTTCTCCCCTGGAATATTTAGATATATATATATATATATTCATATCTAGAGGATCTAATCTTGCATATGATCCTCAGATAAATCCAGAGAGCTCTACAATCACTCAATTATTTCAGCCCTAGTCCAGCTCATAGAAGCAGAAGAACTACTCAGAACAGGTCTGCACAGGTCAAGGGACAGTCCCATGTGGTTTTGCTCTTCCTATGGTGATGAGATTCAGCTGGTTGAGAATTCAATTAGTCCTGAGAATGTTCTCGAAGAGGATGTGTTCTTCTTAAAAAGACCTTGCAGAGGAAAGTGCATCCATCTTCTCACCTACCACACCATGAGTACCTGCCTGGACATTTCTCACGAAGAGCTGCTGGTCAAACGTCTCTTGATGGAATAAATTCTGCCCCACGCTTGGTTCCACTCTTCTTTTTAATACTAAGCTATAGGCTTTTTTGCTTTGGGATCACCATGATGAGGATAAACAAACAGATGCCCTGGTGGAACAGAAGCTGGTAACATGCATCGCTTTCCCTTTGGTTGTTTCTTGGATCTTCCTTTCTTATGCAACAAGCCAGCAGCATTTTCCTTTCCTGTCACTGATTGAAGAAACGCCGCAGAACGAATTGGCCCAGCAAGATAACGGCTGCTACTATCACCACATATTTCCAATAAATATTGCTCAAGTCCAGTGCTGCCACCTAGAGACAGAAGAGTACTGTTATAGAGCTAATTCTGTATTAGCCTTCTCCAATGTGGTGCTCTCCAGAGGTGTTGGATTACAACACCCAGCACTGCCAGCGGCATGCTTATTGGGAATGGTGGGAGTTGTAGTCCCAAAGAGAGGATGCATCAAGTTGTGGAAGGCTGTTTTAAGAAGACCTTGTCTTGGAATATCCTTTCAAAAGAATAATTCTGGGAAGGGGCACTAGTATCTGAAGAATTAAAAAGTGTACACTGGGTCTTAGAAAAAAGACAACCATCCCCTGAGCATCTTTCTTCACAATTATTCATCATGGTCCATGCATTATTTTGCTGTTTGTGCATTCACTGAACATGTTCTGCAAATGCATGTGCAAATATTTGGGCCATTGGCGTAAATCCACAGAATTATATACACGCATCTATGACATGTTTTTCTGATTTCTAAATGGAGAAAGGTGGAAGCTACAAAATGGTGTCTCAGTGAACTCTCCAGACTATTTCTCTGACTCAAGGTCATAAAGGGAGCCCCTAAAAACTCCATGGTTCAGTGGCAAAGTGCATGCTTTAGAAGCAGAAAATGTTAGCCTCAGTCTCTAGCATCTCCAGATAGATTTAGGGATGCCCTTCCTCCAAACTATTTGGAGCATTTTTGAATTGAGTGGCATATAAATTGCAGCAAATCAATCCATCAATCAATCCTGGACAACCTCCATCAAACAATGCAAAGCTATAAAGGACAATGATTTGACCCAGTTGAAAAGGCTGCTTCATACACTCCAATGGTCTCTGGTTCAAATTCATATTAAGAGCAGCTGGAGGGAGCAAGTAGGTGGTGATGTGAACAACCCTGCTGGAAGCCCTAGAACGTTGCTGCCCATCCGACTAGGCTCTAGTTGCCTAGATGGAGAAGTAGTCTGACTTTATACCAAGTAGAGGCTTATATAATATATATTTTTCAAAGAATACTCAGGTAAGATGGTTCTTCGGTTCACTTACCCATCCTCCTTGCTGAGCAATCCATCGGGCAATCCGGTTGTGTAGCACAAATTCAGCCATGTAATGTGCAATTCTTCTCAGGAAGCCAGTCACCCCATGCTGGTATACATGGATTGCCATCCTGTAGCCAAAGCCCAGCAGGGCTATCACACGACCCCAATTGATGCCACTTTCAAACAAACTGGGGAAGAGAAGGTCAGTTGCAATTAGAGATGGTTGGCTCTTTGCTGCTCCCCTGCTGGGATACTAGTGATTTGCATTCTGTGGTAACAAAACCTATGAACACCCAGGCATTTAACAGTATTTAATTCAGGAAAAGCACTATACAGATGCTTTGACCACTCCAACTAATATCTTGTTCATGCTAATGATTCAGTGGGAAAGAGGAACTGCAGCATGACCCTGGGAAAACACTTGTGCAGTTTAAGGAATTACTGACAAGTGTTCTGTGTGCACCCATGCACTCTCTAAAGTACCTTTCTCCCTCTGAACCTGAAGGGCTTCCCAGACTGATGATGATGATAATTACTGTAGATTTTTATCCCAATCACTGTAGATTTTTATCCCAATCACTGTAGATTTTTATCCCATCTTTTTTAGATATAACTCAAGGCAGTGAACATACTTAATACACTTGCCTCCTATTTCCTATTGCTTGCTCTTACAGTAAATCTAGGAGAAAGGCACATGTTTCAATCTCCAGTAACATCTGCCAAGAAAAGTGGTTTTGAAAGAGGAAGTTAAACACAAAAACCTCTTCTATTTCCAGCTGGACAACCTGCCACCCACAATCCCTTCATTTGCCAACCCCAAAGCAACCAGAGAATCCCAATAACCAAATTTGGCAGCAAAACCCTGAATATAAGCAGTGCAATTTCCTACCAATTTCTAGTGGGGAAAAGAAATAAGACAAGTTAATTCTTCGGAAAGGTTCAGCATCCCAGAAGAGGAGGAGGGAAAAAACCTACAACATGAAGGAAAAATATGGGACCCATCCATTTGTGTTGTGTCATTAAATCCTTGCTTTGCCCTTCTGGTCACTGGTTGCTGAAAGTAACAGCAAAGTGTGGCTGCCACCCCATTTGATATTTTGCCTGCCCACACACTTAAATCTGCAGGATCAGCTCTGCTTTGGCTAACCCAGTATGGGGGAGAAGGAGCTGTCCACAAAGGCTTATTCAGCCAGCATGACATTGGGTAACATCCTTTTTTAAATCTGTGTCTGCGTGTGGTTCTAGTGTTTCATTTTTAACTTGGTGCATGGCTGCTTGGAAATCATCTTTAGCTATCTGATGGGATAAAAATGATTCTAATAGCTGAATTTTAAAAATCAGCTTTATAACACATTAGAATTTCAGTGCAGCTGGAAACTTAGCAGGCATAGCATGGAGAGTGTTCCCATACATAAATGAAAAGGAGGGAAGAGAAAGCATGGTAGGTTAGTTTACCTGGTTGCAGCACATTTGCCACCTCAAGGCAGCAAAGTGGTGGAACTTGGTTTCCCAAGGAGGGGAGAGCAAGAAAAGAGGACAGAAGAGAGAGTTAAATGACCTTTACATGGAACAGGGAAACGATGTCTGAATGTAAAGATGCATGTATATACATTATCATTGTTTTCCCTCTGTTGGTGATATTTACCCTTTGTCATTTCCTTTGTTCAATAAAAAAGCAAGGGGAAAGAAAAGAAACAAAGGGGAAAAATTGTGACTAAATCTTTCCTAGTCAGTGGAACACCATAAACCACTTGGAGCTCCATACAGCCTCTCACCTAGGTAACATTGTGATTATAATCTCCAGGTTTGCAACAGTTGTTGCCTTCATGATAGTTTGATGGTTTGTTTAAGAACATGAGAGGAAGAGGAATTTCTCCTGAATCAGACCAAAGGCCATTTTAGTCTAGCATCCTCTTTTCATGCTGACTGAGGTAACACACCTGGCAAGCTCATAAGCACGTCAGTGGTCCACTCCTGCTGCTGTACACCAGTGACTAGCCCTGAATCAAATGGTGGCCACTATTGTGAGACTGAACTCCCACCCCCTTTTTCCATGCATTGCACTCTTGCTTGGTCCCCACCCTGCATGGATGCTCTAGATGGAGGAATATCCTGGGTCTGATTCTGGGGATGAACTGGCCTCATGTAGCTTCAGTGAGGTTGGGAAACAGCCTCTGAAGTCAAAGTGCCTTGGCCAAAGTTGATCCTTCCTCTCCTCCTTCGCAGGGGAAGATCTGACATATCCTTTGCTCTGTGGGAACCTTTTCCAGAGGCCACAGAATTGCACACTCTATGTAGCTAATATGGAAAATGGGAATACAAATAAATCTGATTTTATAAGATGCCCCAGAACTGGCCTTATATTCAGAAGGTTTTTAAAAATTATTTTAACTGAAGAACTAATTGCCTTTACACTTAAGCTTAACACAGAAATAAATCCAAGATGCTGCTAGATGATTCCTGTATCAAGAGAAGTGCTCTGAGTGACCAAGAATATCCTCTGATTCTCCTGAAGGCTCAAGAACAATTTACAGAGAACATGTATTACCAAAAGTGACAGCAGCATATGATTAAAATAGGGCCTGGATTCTGGAAACAAGGCAGTAATTAGCATTAGATATTTTTTGCAAAATGTTTGGTGTATCTGATTATGAGAACAGCTTAGGCCAGATGGAAAGCAAAAAACTGAAATCAGAGCTTAGGTTTGTGATGTCAAATTTATCAATTTGCAAGGATAGATCATCTAGTAAATGTTAGAGATTCAAATGTTTAACTTGGTCTGCCTCCATCTTTGTTATTTGTTTGATATGTCTACCATTAGGAACCCTTGTCTTTACAAGGACTCCCAGAGGTTAACATCAACCACAACCTTAAAAAAACCTAAGCATAAAACTCCAGTGGGTGGCCCTGCCCTGACTTACCTGGAGGCTATTCTGGTGAAGTATTCATACGCATTGTCCTTGGAAGGCTGCAAGGACTTCAGCATCTCAGAGAACTCCTTGTCATACCGTGCATTGATGTCATCACCAATGGTAGCTAAGCGTCGACCCACCTGGCTGTTGACACTGCACAATGAACAAATGTACTGGTTAAATGGGAACATGGAGACAGACTAAGTACACATTTAAGAGCCTGTGGTAGGTACCTGTCTGGCTCCTGCTGAATTGCAGCAATTTCTGGGTCAACTGGCACATCCCCCTCAGTCTGCTCCTGCTCCTGCTGGTATCGATGGAAAGCATAGCTCTGGAATACCTCCTCAGTCTGTCGAGCTACCAAGTCCTCTGCAGAAGAGATAACAGGATTTTTCAGCTATCGGCAGCTTCATTTCAAACAGAGGTGGGTCACCGTAGTTGCAGCCCCAAGAGCCTCTCCCCTCACATCAGGCTGCTGAATGTCAGGAGCAAAAACACTAACATTCTGCCAGCACATGTTTTGGTCCCCCCTCCCAACAAAACACAGAGAATATGTCTCTTAAGCCTTTAAAGGAATTAACACATCTATTTCTCTTCCAACCTTACCCACATCCACTTTTCCCAAGCAGTTCAACCCACAGATATGGTTCTCTCTCTTTACCCACTTAGTCAAATCAGAATTTGAATCTCATTTTCCTGGTCAAAGCATTTCCAATTAATTCTCTCCAGATGTGTTCAGCAACATTTTCTATTATCCCTTGGATATTGATAGAAAAAAGAAGGCTTCTTCTTAACAATATTGGCAGAGTTTGGCCCACAACTCATCTTTAAATAATCCAAATTCTAGGCTTTAGCTAATCTGCATTTTGAATCAGTTTGTCTCTTTATGTTATTAATCTCCCAGTGGGGATTTTAACTCAATGGGGGAGGGGGGGAAGCTTTTCCATTGCTTATCTGGTGCCAGCCTTACTTACCTAGTTCAGTTCTTTAATCTTAGCAAGCAAATAAACAGAACAGGTAAGATATGGCATTCTGAACTACTGTCTCTACATACAAAGGAGAGGGAAAACTACTGTTTCTAAACAGCAAAGTAATTATATTCAGCTACTGCATTAAAGAGGGCAAAGAAACTTCTTAAAGCTAGCTGTGGCTTATGGATTTAGAGAAATGAATATCTGACAGCTAGAGTAGTAGTACCCAGCCATGGAGAATCTGAGAGCTCAATCTCTCACTTCAACCACCAACTGGACCCACCAGAAAGGAACAGAATAGCAGCAAAACAAGGCCTCCATTCCTGGCCCTTGTAGACAGTCCAGAAGGATAAAATGACAAATGGTACTGAAGACCACTGAGAGAGAACCACGAGGGGTACACTCCTATCCCAGTCCCACCCCAGGTTATCCACAAGAGCAATCAAAGTAATCCCAGTGCCATATCCTGGCCTGAACCCCCAATTAAAAGGATCCAAGTTACTGACTACAAGGGTCTCTGCAATTGTAGGCTCATCACCCCTTTCCCCAGAAAGGGAAGACAAGAGACAGTGCAATCCAAACAGCTGGGTTGAATGATGATTTCTTGAAGAGGGAGGAGGCACCATTATCTCCTTCAAGGTTATTCTTATATCCAACCTCTTCTCACCTCTGTGCTTCCACCAGTCAGGTTGGGCAGGGATTCAATCCACAGGTGGAAAAGTGATGCTGAAGAGAACTCTGCCCATTTTCTTGAGACTGACAGTCTTAAACCATTCCTCAATAACCTTTCAATGTACAGGTAGTCCTCACTTAACAACCAAAATAGGGACCGGAAAATTGGTCATTAAGAGAGTCATGTGACTGGACCCGATTTTATGACCATTTTTACAAGTCATTAACCGAATTACATGGTTGTTAAGCAAATCACATGGTCAAGCAAATCCAGCTTCCCCAGTGAACATTTTTGCCAGAATTTGCTTAATGACCCTGGTGATTTGCTTTATGACCATCATAAAAAAGGATACAAATTGAAATCACATGACCGCAGGGGTTGGTGCGACAGTTTGCAATGGTCATAAGTATGAGTACAGGTCATAAAGCACTTTATCTGAGGCTGTTGTAACTCTGAAATATCATTGTTAAGTGAGGACTACCTGTATTGCCTGCCATATCTTGGGACTTTGCCTAGCCAGTGTCCAAGTGAATGTGAATGATTTTATTCTCCAAATGCTTTGCAAATTTATCACATTCAACAATTGGTTTTTCTGCCCCATCCTCCCCCCAAATGGTCTGAGTTACTTTAAACAGGTCCGTGAATGTGCTAAGTCCTGACAAATATTGATGCTTTGCTGCTCTTATTGTCATGGTGTGGGCTCAAACCTGAGTTTGTACCTGTGTTCAGTCATACAGGTAGTCTTCGACTTGTGAACATTTGTTTAACGACCGCCTGAAGTTATGATGGTGCTGAAAAAAGTGACTTACGACCAGTCCTCACGCTTACGACTGTTGCAGTGTCCCCACAGTCATGTGATCAAAATTCAGGTGCTTGGTAACTGGCATGTATTTATAACAGCATCCTGGGGTCACATGATTGCCCTCTGCAACCTTCTCAGGGGGCTTCCAACAAGCAAAATCAATGAGGGAAGCTGGATTTGTTAATGGTCATGTGATTTGCTTAACGATCATGGTGATTTGCTTAACGATCATGGTGATTTGCTTAATGACCATGGCAAAAAAGGTCATAAAATTGGGTGTCTCACTTAATGACTGCATCACTTAGCAATGGAAATTTCGATCCCAATTGTGATTCTAAGTTGAGGACTACCTGTATTAGCGCTTCATTGTTCACTGGCATTGCTCCAGAAGTCTCCTCTGCCACTTCATCTTCTGGACCTCCTCAGTATACTGAGAAGCCTCAGAGAGAAGCCACTCAGATGCAATCTTGTCAAGAACTATAGCAGACTCCACATTCCAGGGCTCAACTAGAATTTGCCCAGAAATGCCTCAGGAAATTTCCCAAATGTCCTCTGGAAACCACTGGATTCATAAAGTGACTTGAGCAGACCAAATGAATGGATCCAACCTCCCTGAAGAAGTTGGTGAAACCAGTCAGTTCCATGGAAATCAAAGAGTGATTGGACTATACAGGACTGATGTTGATCTCCCCCACCCTCAAATCATATCTCCCCTGTTCCTTAACAAAAACTAGTCCTATGTTTGGCCTCCTATATATGTTAGGCCTGTGAAGACCTGGCTTCCAAAGAAGGCAAGCCAAAATCCCCCAGAACAAGCAGCTTTGGGAAATCCACCACCCTGGCAATGAGGTCCAACAGCTTAGGCTAGGATATTGCTGGGCAGTACTGAAGGCAGTATAACAGCAGCAGTCCCAGCTTATGTCTTGATCTCAAGCTCACACACAAGGCATTACTTCCAGTTATCTGCAGAACAGTATCTCTATTCTCCTACAGAGCTTCTTGAGTTACAGCGGCTGCCCCTCTATTCTTGCCCTGTGACAAAGCTGATGACTACTCAATATCCAGCTGGACACATATCTTAAAGGGGAACACACCCTTCCTTACCCACTTAGATTTCAGCGAAGCAAGCCAGGTCTGTTCTGTCATCTACAATGAAGTGATAGATGAGGAAAATTTTATTACAAGGCTCCTGAAATGAAGCCAAGGAACTGGAAGTAGGGATTGGACTCAAATTTTCAATCTCCCTTCCCCCCCATCAGTATACACTTATGGGACATGTATGAGTTCTATATGTAATTGGGGTACAACTCTGGGCTCTCCAGATGCTGGTAGTCCACAACACTCATCATACATTGTCGTTGTCCATGCAGGCTGGAGTCCAACCATGAAAAAACTAAGAACTCAGAGGAGCAACATGGAAGGAGACAATGAGATCTACAGAAAGACAGCTGGTACTAGGGCTATTTTTTCTCCTGTTTGCTCTTTCCTCTATATACTTGTCTGTTCCACAACCCTTTTTTTACCCAATTACACACAGAAGGATTTTGCTGAGACATTTCGCTCTGGCCTTGAGAAGGAGGTGGGAGAGGTGAAATGACTCAGCCCTGACAAACTATGAGAAAGCATGAGAAAGAGACTCAGAACAGCCCTGCCTTGGCTGTGTTGTCCTTAAAAAGGAGGTAATGAAGGTTTCAGACAGATGTTCAAGATTCTGTTAATATACCCTGCAACAACAAAATAGCATTCCTGGAATCCCTGTGGTGTCTGTTTCTTGACCTGGTCTACCTTGGAGGGCTGACAGATTTTAACATTTCATTGTGCTGGAGAAGAAATGGAGAAGAGAAGGCAGGCAGAGACAGAGTTTAACCTTTTTTCATTGGTTGCTTCTTTCTTCTAAACCATGCCTTCTCCCAGCTATTTTTAGCTGTTTTGATAAGAGATCTAGGCCTATTGCCAGAATTTGGCCTCTCTGCTCCTGAAGTGCAAAAGACAAGGCCACAGTAGAGAGTTGCCCTATATTTCAATTGAGAATATGCATATGTATGTGCTTGATGGACATTATTTTATATATTTTGCTAACTGTATGTTAACTTTCTTTTCAGGTAGCAAATGAAGCCAAGAAATACAGACTTTTATTCATCCCATTTCCCAACAGAAGAGAAAAACATTTTCTATTGCACTAAACTATTTTAAGATAATATCCACAGCAACAAAGGCTCTAACTGCAGGATCATTATCCATAGACTAAAGTGAGAGCCAGCACAATGCTGGTAAAATGCTGGGTCGTGGAAATCCAGGGTCAAACTTAATTTAGACCTAAAGTTCCCTGGTGATTTTAGGACAGTTCTTCTCTGTCAGCCTAAACTACCTCCCAGGACTACTATGAAGGCACTGGGGAGTGGCCACCTATCCTGAGATTCTTAGAGGCCAGACAGCATAAAACGAGAATGCAGTAATGAAAATGTATCCTCACTGATGTTTATCATATGCACACTTCCTTGGAGTAAGCCTCAGACAAGTCAAGTTCAATTCCTTGTGACTTCAGGTACATGTCCATGTTATTTTCTTAGTCACCGTACAGGAATGGTTTGCCACTGCCTTCTTCCATGATGTTTTTTTCAATTCCCCAGTTTAGCCTACAGCCCTGGGACAGGGGCATCTGCAGAATTCGATGAATTTGTCAAAATGATAAAATGAATATTGTGTGGTACAACACAAAAGTTGCTCCTTTCATATGTGTGTGCAATGTCACAACACATAAGGGTTGGATTTGGTATCACAATGGCACAATGTCTTTCTTTAATCATCTGTCCTCCTGCTGATGTCTCTGTTCTGGGATTTCCTTCTGGTCTCCCATCCAAGGGCTAACCAGGCCTGACTCCGCTTAGTTCTTGAGCCCAAACAAGGTCAGCTAAGTGCTGATTCTAAACCACAAGTCTTGGGGCAAGAGATTAGAATGTTTAGAATGATCTTGAAAATGGAGCTCTTCCACAGGGCATTTGGAGCCTAATGGTTATGAATCATTGTGAGATGCCATGTATTTTTATTTGGATTATGTTATATTTATTACATCTGTGTATGTGTATGTATTACATCTGGTTAAGAGATTTTAAAATCATCACCAAAAGTTTACGTAGATGCTGTATGCTCCTGCCACTTGCTACACTTCACCAGGTACTTATTGTTATCCCAAAAATCATCTAAAGCCAGAAACAAGTTCTAAATTTGATACTGTATTTCTGTATACATTGCTTAATACACTAGCACTGCTGAACTGAGGCCAAGGTGGGTTATCTCTACAGTGTTTGGGCTGCACATTTTATATTCAGCTTCTAGGTTGGTTTAGGATTAATACCTCTTTACTACATGCAGTTATCAAAGCTTCTCATCAAATGTTTATGCTCATGTATGGCCTGGTGCAACTTAAAACATAAACATTAAGTTTTTGGAGGGCTGCAAAGGATGATAGCCATATCCTGCAACCTTAAATGAGGCTTTCTGTGTGGTTAGTGCAGTACTGTTATCTTTAGTTTCCGGTTAGGCATACGTTTTTTTTAACCATCCAATCTGCAATCTTATTAGATATTCTGTGGCCCCCACAAAGCCTTCTCCAATTAGACTCTTTCCTTTCCCCTCCAGACAAGACCACACTACCACCAACAGTCATTAGGAAAAAATCCCCAAAGCTGGGGGGGGGGGGGTTGGTCTTTACAATAAAATTGTTTGTGTTTTTATCTATGATAATTGATATTTTTTGTAAATCTCCTTGGTAGGATTTGTATCATGAAAGGCAAAATAAAAACTACTGTAGTAAGAAAGAAATTATACCCAAGAAAACCGTTACATGGTTAACATTTTTTACACTATGTCACTGAACTCCTTGCTGGCTTTCCAAGCTATTAACTGGTTAAGCCATCATTTGCAGCCTTCCTCCAACTAACCATATATCTATATAGTATCTATATTATAGTATGAAGATTGGAAGTACCTGGAAATGTTTTTCATCTTTCATTAAAAGAAGCCACTAATTTATTTTCTCCTCCCTCTGTCATTTTCAAGAGCTGAACTTTCACTGGAAGGCTAATTAGGATGGGGTACAATGGAGGGTGCCTGACATGGCTGAAAAATCAGAAGAAATCAGTGTCTTGCACCAGGCCAGCAAAGTTTGGGAAAGGAAAACAGCTGCACAAAGTAAAAGCAAGTAATTGACTCATATTCACACTGAAGTGTTGCAAAATCACCCACAAGTTGCAAACAAGCAATTAAAAAAACCTGTTTCCCCTGCAAGCTCTCTACTTCTACCACTTCTTAGCAAGACACTCCAAGTGAATCCTGGAAAATAAGCAAAAGGTTTAACCTGGGATTCCCAACCATCTTGAGCCAATGGCACTTTTGGCATTTTGAGAACATATTGTGGGTACTTAAAATAGTTTCCCATTGACACAATAAGTACAGTATTGTAATGGAAGCTGCCCATCATAAAACACATATTTAATTGAAGGTATAGATATTTATTATCAACTTGGGTTATTTTTGACCCAGTTTCTATCCAGGGAACAGATTTACATTAAAAAAAATCCTGGGGTGCCTTTATAGAATTGAAGGGCATTTTTGAAAATTATGTCAGCTTCCTTTTTTATTCTGTTTAAAAAAGCCTTCAGGACATTTAAAAGGTAAAGTGAGCTGGCTCTAAAAACAGCTATAAGGCTGCATTTGGGTCAGGTATTATTACACATGTTAACAGAATTATCTGATACAGAAAAAAAAGGCAGCCTATTATTGTCCAGACTATTTTCTGCTGCCCCAAGACCAGAACCCAAAAAGAAACCTGGCAGCATAGATTTGGTTATTTTACTTAATCTGCCTGAAAGGCTAAACATTTCATCCACCTGCTTCAGTGACATCATTCTACCCCCATCTTGCCACCAGCAGCCCTAAAGGAAGTTTGTAAAAACAGAAACAAAATGTGTGCCTCCCTACTCATCTATAAAGGATGCTGTTCTATGGACACAACCGAGAAAGATTTTACTTTCAGAAAAAGAGAAAAAAATACAGTTACTTGTAATTTTGAAGCACACTGCATTTTTGATATTATATAATGATCTTCTCCAACATGCTTTTAAATATGCTTTCAAGTTTGGATTATGTTAACAGTCTGTTCTTCTTGTCCCATAGCGCCATTTAAAATTGCAATCTACTAGCAAATTTCAAATGAAAGTGGCCATTTCCTCCTTGCTAGTCTTTCTTGCATTAATCTCCTTGAACCATTGCCTCATAGGCAAACAGTGATGAATAATCAGATGAGTGATAAATAAGTATCACACGTGCAGGAAGCCAATGTTAGCTCATACTGCAGGATTTAAAGGAAGGTATGGCGACTGTAGCACAAACAGGAAAGAAATGTGCTTGGTTGAATACAATGGAATGATTCCCAGTTTGTACAAAAAAGCAGAATCAATTCTCTAGTTTGTAAAATATTGCAAATTGCTAACAAAACTTTAGCATGTTTACATTTTATAATGTGTTTCTTTCCTCTGTAAAACATAAAAGGATAAAAAATAATAATCAGAATTGAAGTAGAGGGCTAGAGCAAATTAGGTATCGTCATCCGAAAATCCTGGTCATGCGGTGCACGTTTGTTGCTTTGGGACAAGCGTAAGTGTGTTGGATATGCTAAGGATACAAAACCACAATTGCTTATATAAAGACCAAAGTATAAACCAATACCTTGGTGTTAGGTGCACTGGACTGTGTAAGTAAAAGGGGTAATTCTTTGAGGGAAAACTATTTTTCCAACAGATCAAAGATAGTCATCCAAGTTGTTTAAATTAAGCATTCAGAATTTTCAAAGTAAAAAAGGCAGTAAATACATATTAATAATTTTGATCTCAAAGCTCCAATATTTCTACAATGATTTTAATTTTACACTAATTCTGTGTATTTAACTAAGAAAAGCACTAAAAAAGCCAGCATGACCCCAACATCACTGGAAACAGCACTGTTGTTCACCAATCAGGAATTATTCATAACCATATATTGTGCAGATACAGAGGATGCAAATGAAGCCATGACAATGTAAGCGTACTATATGCATTACTGCATACAAAACGATACTCTAGAACTCACATCTGAAAAGCTACGCAATGACACAGGAACTAAGTATCCCAGTAACTTACATCTTATCTCAGCAAATCTATACAGCAGGTATACACTTGACTAAGATTATTATCCCCACATGGCTGAAGCCAATAGCAAGTACTCTACCACAGCTATTTAAAGAATTCCTGAGTTTTAAGAGATTTTAACTGGGAACTTAGCATTTTTTGATTAAATCTGCGCACAATATATGCGTACTGGGAAGTTGCACCAAATAGGCCTATAAACTGCAATGAAATTTAAGAAGCTGCCTAAGATGGGATGAATGCATATGGCAATCCAAAGTGATTTAGTGTACTAATGAATATATAACAGCAGCATTCAAAGTTTTCTTCTAAGACAGAAATCTGTAAAATTATAATCCAAAATAAATCAGACACTTGATTCTGAACAATACACTGTCCCTTGTGTCATTTATATATTAATGACAAGGCTATGCTTACATTTAATATTTGCATAGTCTCAGGCAACTGCATCCTTGGGATAGGAAAGCAACACCCAACAAGGTTTACCTCTAATGAGATATTAAGACTTGCCTTCTAGCAAAGCATTTGACAATTATTTTGGGAGACACCTTGAGTTGTCTGCAGAGTCTAATGCAGCAAAACCCTAACCCTAATCTAAAATTGAGTTTCATACCTTGATAACCATCATTCACAAATAAGAAGAAAAGTCCCTATGCCCAGAAATGGATTTACCTGCTGTAACATATTTTAAGTTGGAGCTTACACATTGATCAATTTTTTCTAATGACTATTGCACAAGTGGATGGGTGATGCTAAAATATGACTGCCAAGCTGGAGGAATTATTTAAAATTGTAGCTGAGCTTCCAACTGTCTACATAATGCACACACTCTAATCATAATTTCTTAACCCTCTCCTTGGAGGCAGGTTTGTCAAATGAGTAAATTACCCAGATACTTATTCATCTCTGCCTCACACCAGAATAAAGAAAAAAGTTTTTTCCCCCTGGGAAAGAAAGAGGTACCAATAAATTCTTGGGCACAGTCATAAAATATTGCACATAGATTATCCCTACCAATGACATCAACAACTCCATATTATCAAGAGCCAATGCAGATGTTATTTTATTGTTCCCATATATCAAATGCTGGTAACTGAATGAAAACCTCAGTGGAATTCTTTTTTTTCCCTTATAGCTGCTTATCATGTCCAGCAAAAATTGTTCTAAAGTGACAGCCACTAGTAAAACACAAAGAATTATTTCAATATTACTGTATTACTCATACAGTAGTCCTCTTTATCTCCTTGATATATAAACATTACTGATTATATATCCGGTTAGTCACTTTGGAATGGCTTGAGTATATATGCAGGGGCCCTCCAAATAGAGGAGTTTATTATAGGCCACCTGGCAGGCAGAAGACATGGATGAGACTTTTCTGTGTCAGAAGACCCAGGTTTCAAAGAGACATGTAACCATGATAATGGGGGGTGTCAATTATCCTGATATACGCTGGGAATCCAACTCTACCAAGAGCCGGAGATGCAACAAATTCTCGTCCTCCATTGCTGGCAACTTTATTTGTCAGAAGGTGGAAGAAAGAAGCAAAAAGAGAGAGGGCAAGCACTTTCTCCACTTAAACAAAAGGTATGTGTGGGATTTTTTTTTTTAATCTAAGAATTAAACAGTAAGAAAAGTAGTCACTGCACATTTATACATTCAAATAAATAAACATTTCTGCTCCAAATTTAAACCCAAGACTATTGCCAAAAAACCAGGGGTGTTATCGAAATTAGGCATTAGGTAGTTCCTAGCAGGTTTGCAATGGGGAAAACTGGACAGAGGGTAGTGGGGGCTGTATATTCGAGATAATTTCCTGCAAGGAGCGGGGAGTCGTTCCCCTTCCTGCTCTATTCTCTAGGTGATAATCCACCTTCTGCTTAATTCCTGGTACTTCTGAGCTGGCATCAGCAGGCATGTTTGGTGGGTCTGTGCCACGGCCCTTTTGCTCTTCTACGCACACTGCCTGCCACAGCCCACCAACAGCCAAGCAGAGAGGTATCCCAGCCTACAACAACTAGTTCTCCTGATCTGGACTGATCTGGCTGCCTAAAATCCCTGCAAAAAGCATTAAAATGTGGCAGAGCTATTTTCCTAGCAAAAGCCACTGCTATTGTCATGCTTAAGAAAAGCTGGCAGGTGAAGTTTGCCGTTTGGTTAACCACTGTCAGAATCAATGGAAGAGCTCTAGCCATGTTTACCTGATGCCATTTCCTGGGATGATCTGCGTCTCTCTCCTGTCCTCCTCCTTTCTGCTGGATTGCTGCCATTCCTTGAGGCCATGCTGGCGTGTGCTTTGGTAGAACTGAATTAACCTGAAAAAGGTTATAAGACAGACAAAACAGTCCTTAACTGTTTCAGTATCACTAACCCAACCCAACTCTTACTTTCATCACTCAAAAGCCTGCTTTGCTTTCTTAGAAATGTAATGGCCCCTCCCTCAAACCTTGATCCTTAATGTCTTTAACTTAATTTTTGACACTCTCTTTCATTCCCATTGTTCATACAGGTACGCAGCAAAACAGCTCCTGAAAAGCAGACTGGAAATGGGAGCTTCTTAGAGAAACCTGCAATGGTTTGAATTACTGAGATAGGGTTAGGCTTCCATAAATTGATAACATATATCTATATAGAATTGTGATTCTGAGACTGGCAAATCAATATCATAAATAAATATATCTGATGAATCTGTACAGCAAGAAGAGAGTCTATTTAACAATCATTTATATAACAATAAAATATAAATAAATGTGTATTAACATGTTATATAAAATATAAACATTTAGGTCACAAAATAATAATCCCAAATAAATAACGTATATATTGTTTACTTAAGGTTGCAAGCTAAGACTACCTCACCTCAACATACTGATCTCTTAAAACAACCCAGGAACAAAACAGAAAGAGTTAATTTACAGATCCTTGTCAAACAGAAACTTACTATTTACTTTTTTTGTTGTTGTTGTTCAGTCGTTAAGTCGTGTCCGACTCTT